TTGAAGACAGGCTTGCCTGGTTGTTACCTCATGGAACTACTAAAGAGATAGGCTCTGCTAGAGCTAGAGCACCTCCAGGGACCCCAGGCCTCTTAAGGACTGCCCTTGGGGCCTAGCAGTGTCTGCTTCAGGCCTGAGGCTGGACTGAGCTGGGCAGGCAGCCAAACTTCTCAGGAACAGCAGCCAGGGCTGGCACAGAGGAAGGAGGATTCTGGAGGCTGATGTGCAGAGAAGGGAGGGAAGGAGTCAGAAACAGCTGGAGCTAAGGTTGAAGGAGAAAATCTAGGGACTGATCCTGATCCAGTATAAACTGAATCAGGTTCCTGTCTGGTAAATAAATACTCAAAGGAGTATAAAGGCTTAGAATAGGTTTCCCAGGTAGTGTATGTGTGAATAGTTCCACTTCCCCCACTTTTTCCCACCAGTCCCTCTACTTCTCCTTGTCCTTGGCTCCATTTGACCCATTTGTGCCGTAAAGCAGCAAAGTGATCACTTATGGGACATATTTGACTTACTATGGTAGAGCTAGGCTAGCTACTGAAGAACTCTTCCTGTGGTAAAGGAAGTTTGAGTCTGCCAGTGACTTTGTGATAGCAGTAATAATAATTACACAGAGAAGGCAAACACTTCATTGAATGCTTCTATGCAACAAATACATGGATTAGCTCATTTCCTCTTCTCAACAATCCTCTGAGGTGCAGTGGGATGAGCTGTTGACAAGTTTGGTTAATAGATGCCATCACTGTGATTCACTCAATCTCAATTACTGTACGTTCTCCCTTGATAGGCACCTTGACCTCAGTGTGCTGCCATTCAATTTCCTGGAACTCAGGGTTTATTTTACAGAGCTACGTTTCTATATAGCTGTTACAATGTACTAGCAAATAGAAAGTGATATTCATTACTAATAATTGTGTTGTTTTTGGAAATGTGGCACTGGAGTGTCTAGATTGTGCAGAAGCTGTCTGCAGGTGGCAATGGGAGAGAGGAGAGCCACCTGGGAAGATCCCTCCATTAACAGTGTAATTGCCTTAAAAGCTAGAGATCCTGTCTTTGCAGACCTGCCAAAGTGGATAAAAGAGGAAAGGGAAAGCCTGCCTCAGGTTAGGAACAGGGTATGCCTAACAATTTCAAGCACTCACACAGGCACAGCTTGATTTTATTGAGGATCAATCCCAAGGAAATCACTTCCTGTAGAGAACCTGATTCCCCATGTGTTGGAGTGATGTGGTATTAGCCTGTTTTTGTTTTTTGAGACTGGGTCTCACTATGTAGATCAGGCTGGCTTTGAACTCACAGAGATGATCTACCTGTCTGTGCTTTTCAAGTGTTGGGATTAAACACATGCATTATTGTGCCTAACTTTTTATTATTACTATTGTTAATAATATTTTAATATTATTTGTATTTTTGCTCATGTGCCATGGCTTGTGTGTGGCTGTCTGGAACAACTTACAGGGTCTGTTCCTTCCCTTCTACCATATAGGCACTGGGGATTGATCTCAGATTCTCCCTAACCTGGTGACAGGCACCTTTAACACTGAGCTGTTTCAACAGCACTTGTGAGACTGTTTCTTTAGAAGGACTTGAGCTAATGACTTTAGGGTAGGGCTGGCTGTGTGTACCAAGTATTATTATTTATGTTTCTTGACTGACTACATACAGTAACCATGTGGGTAGATTTGGGAAATTCAGTTAGTCACAGAGCTAGGCTTCAGTTTCATGGCTGCAGCTTTCACCACACTGATGTGGTGGAGCAGGTCTAGGGCAAGTGGACCAGTTATAGCATATCTCCTCCCTTCCTGGGATGGGGAGCTGTGAGCCCAAGGACATTATACTTCTTGGAATCATGGCAGCTTGGCTGGTCTTGCCCTGGGAGGGCAGTGTTAAGGATGTCTTTGATCATGCATGCAGACAGTATGGTGTTCTTTCTGGTGGCTGATGGTTAAGATCTGCTGTTCTGTGGTTGCTGTATTGCTGCTCCTGAATATTACTCAGAGTACTGTCCCATGATCCTTTGCCAGATGTGGGCTGGGTTGTACAGGTCATGGTTTCTTGAACTAAACATTCCAGGCCCCTGTTTGTTCTGTGATGTTGGATAAATTTACTGTATGTATGCAGAGCCTCATTTCCCTGTTTTTAAATGAGGCTGTGGTGAGGATGGCACATGAGCTAATAATGTTCTTAAAGTGCTTAGATAGTATAGAGCTTGGCTCTATCAAATGCTTAATAATTGGCTGCTGTTAGTCAACAGTGAGTGAGACCTTCAGCTTTGAAAGACTGAAGAAGGTTCTGCTACCCTCTGGAATACAGGGCTGGTTGCTGTGACTGGGTCTGGAGAAGCTCAGGTCCAAGAGAAATCAAAGTGGTCCAGGAGCAGTATCCACCAGCAGACAAGAAAATACGGACTCTAACTTGACACCATTACTCCATCCCACTAGAATGGGAACCTTTCAAAGAAAGGAACTATGATGGAAGAAAGCTGACCTTCTGTCACTGGATGATTGATCATCTGTTGACATTGATTTCCCCCTCTTTTTCTCATTTGCTGAGCATGTTAAAAGCCTTCAGGTTTCAACTGGTTCTGCTGTATCAGGCCATCAAAAGATGCTTTTACATGGAGAACCAGCAGAGTAAATGGGATTTAGGCCTCTATGGGAGCCCCATCTGTTCTGTCCTTACCTTTAGGCCTCAGTGCCAGGCTTTGGAGGGAGCTGCTGTATTGGAGCATCTGTCCAGTGGGGGTGGAGTGAGTGGCTTGGGTAGGTGGGTCAGATGGAGGGCAGGAAATCCTCTTATCGCTCCTGGTGCTGGGCCTCCTGCAGCAGGAGCTGAGCAGCAAACACTGGTGAGTCAGCTAGCCTGGGAATTAGAGTTGCCAGTCTGTGAGCATGTGGGGTTTGTGTAAGTTTGGGCCTTTTGTTTCTTTCAGCAATCCAGTCTTTAGAAATACAAATCTGGAAACCAGACCCTCCACATGCTACAGTCCTTCTTGTTTGGAGAGAATTCTGCTGGAACAGTTGCTTCTCTTATATGATGGTCTTCCAAGAATTAACCCCATGCCTTTTGAAATTTGAATAGGTTTCACTTACGGCTTACTACATGCCCAAAGTATGAACAGCCTGTGAGAAACCATGCCTGAATCTGTCACTTTTCACAGTCAAAGCACTTTTAAGGCTCTCTCTCTCTCTCTCTCTCTCTCTCTCTCTCTCTCTCTCTCTCTCTCTCTCTCTCTCTCTCTGTGTGTGTGTGTGTGTGTGTGTGTGTGTGTGTGTGTGTGTGTTTTAAAGCACATTGAAACTGCAGTTCTTTAGAGGGCATGTGTAGACATGTCTTTTGTCTTCAAGGGTGGAGAATAGGACACACCCTGATAGGAGTCTACCTTAACTACAGGAATGGCTGTGGTTCCTTTTTGGTGACTACACTCACTGCTTCCTTTTAGAGAGAATTCCTCTTGAAAGTAACTCCCAGTTTATCTAAGCACTGTTTGGTAGAAGCTGTTTTGTTTTTATTTTTTCAGCTTTTCTGAACAACTGTCCTTTGCCCCATTACCAGACTCTTAAGACCTCTGAATTTGTACCATGAAGGTCCATGGAAGCTCCTTAGAAGTAGGAGGCCCATGCTGGACTGACATTGATTTTTGTCTGGTGTCTGCTTTTCTTGGTACGCTTTTGGCTTCTGATCCATGTACTAACAGTGCATTGTCAGTTGCTGCCATTGTTCTAGCAGCTGGCAGAATTTTGCAAGTACTACATTGTAAATGGATTTTCTGTTATAGCAAACTATTTGAAGGGTAAGGACAAATCCTGAGTAGATTGTATTAGAGAAGTAGCTTCTGCTTTTGCCACAAATTTCTAGCAGTTCTATAAAAATTAAGTTACAACAAATAGTACGCAGTGAAGAATTTTCTCAGCGTCAATGTAGCCATTTGATTTGGCAGTTTTATGTCTTCGAGATTGTATTGGGCGTGGAGACTTACCTAGGTTGGGAAAGTACCTGGAGTACAGACTCTATAGGTGGGCGGAGCAGGGTGGAGCTAGGACAGTTACACCTGTGTGAATCCAAAGAGATCAGACATTTGTAGTTTTGACACTGTATCTTTACCTCACCATTAGATGATTATGAGATTACAGGTGCTTGGATATGGCCTCTTCTCCCTATTCCACCAGAATCCAGCCTAACAAACCAAACAATGTATTTACTGGGTTTACTTAAAGAGCACAGATGAGGGCTTATTTCAGGAGCATGAGTGACCTAAAGTAGCTTCAGCACCTTAGGTTTGAGGACTTCATGGAAGTTTCACCATGGAATTTTGCTTTCAGTTAATTCTCTACTTATGTACGCTAGCATCTGAGGGAGAGCAAGAAGGAATGGCTGTTTGTGAGGTGAGGCTCCTTTAACTCTCCTGACTCCTACTGAAGAGTGTCACCAGCTCCATCCATTACCATTATCATAGACTTAGCTACTTCTGTATTGTTCTGCTCAATTGGTTGCCATGGCTGCCAGACCAAGGTAATTTATAATCTAAGGTGTTGCTGTGTTATGCTTGGAGGAAAAGACCTACTGTAACAATCTTTGTTAAAATCTGAATATGTAGGTTATTAGATGTAGAGTCAGGTGGTGAACTTCTGGCTTCACCAGGATCTAGATAACTTTCTTAGTGAAGGCAAAAGTTGCCAAGACATATTTCCCCTGGAACACTTTGTCAGACTGTAGTCTCTGATGTGTTCTGCAAATGATTGGCCTCTTGTAAGTGCTACTATAATGATTCTAGGAATTTCCTATGCTGATTTCCCAAATATCCATTTCCAGGGGTAAGCCAGAGATGACTTACAGGAGAGAGAATGGTGACCTTTATCTCACCATTAGAAGGGGGTGTCTTTCCCTTGGCTCAGTTTTAGCTCAGTGAAGTAGAGTAGTCACTGGTGGAAAGTTCTGGAGTGTAGTATCTATGCCCTACTCCTCTGCTTAGAGGTGACTACTTTGTAATTTCCTTCCAGGTTGGCTGGCTCCTCTAACTGATGGCATGTTGAAGTACATGGGCCAGAAGCAGCGAGGGCATCTGATCCAGAGGGGGCCACTCTAGAGGCCAGGCCACCACCACCATGGGCCAGTGTGTCACCAAGTGCAAGAATCCTTCATCAACCTTGGGCAGCAAGAATGGAGACCGGGACCCTAGCAGCAAGTCACACAGCAGGCGGGGAGCTGGCCACCGGGAGGAACAGGTGCCACCTTGTGGCAAACCAGCTGGGGATATCAGTGTCAATGGGACAAAGAAAACAGAGCCTGCCACTGAGGCCTGCCAGCTGCCAACATCTTCTGGAGATGCTGGGAGGGAGTCCAAGATCAATGCTGAGGAGTCTTCCTTGCAGAGGTTGGAAGAACTGTTCAGGCGCTACAAGGACGAGCGGGAGGATGCAATCTTGGAGGAAGGCATGGAGCGCTTTTGCAATGACCTATGTGTTGATCCTACAGAATTTCGAGTGCTGCTCTTGGCCTGGAAGTTCCAGGCTGCTACCATGTGCAAATTCACCAGGTTAGTCACAGATGCTTTCGTGTCAGGTGAACAGAAGAGGAAAGAAAGTGACATTGGGTAGTGGTACCAGCTAGAACAGAACTGGGCTAGCTTCACGGGTTTGGGGCAAGTGGTCTCTCCCCCCTTTTCTGGCCATTTTCTCTACAGCTTAAGTCTGGCGTTGTTGTTTTGATCCAGATAACTCCCTAGATTCTTCTAAGGAATTAATTTTTTTACCATGTTCCTGGTACTGTAGCAGAATTGCGGAGTAGATTTCTCAGTAGGTAAGACTCAGAGATTTGTGTCTCCATAAAGCTTCTTTGTCTGATATGTGCTATCCTGTTTTCCTCACAGAATAAAGTGCTGTCTGATTGATAGGTCACAGTTGAATTTATCACAGCACTAAGAGGCAGTCTAACTGGGTACTGACCCTCTGCCTAAAGTTAAATAAGGACTAAGCAGTGTGAACCCTGTTGCTAAGTTGCTGCTCAACCCCACTGACAGCTGCTCAAAACTTGTCCCTTAGTCAGTTGACTCATTCGGTATTTATCTGTAGTCTGCCAGGCACTTAAGTTTCCATAGAGTAAGTTTCTCTGAGGCTATACCTCTACAGCTAGGCCTGTGTGCAGCAAGGACAGCTGGCTCTAGTTATCAAGCATGAATTGTACAAATTGTCATAGTAATGCATCCATATTGGGGTTGATTGTATAAAAGGATATGGCAGGTTCATGGCAGACTATAGCTTCAAGAGTACAGGGTTACGAATAATAACTGACTTTATTTTTTGTGCTATTGTTGTTACTATAACTTTTTAAAGACGGGGGATCTGGAACTGGATATGTAGACCAAGATCAAACTCCAAGATCTGCCTACCTCTTGAGTGCTGGGATTAAAGGTGTGAGCCACCATACCTGCACTGGCAGAACAGACTTCAAAACCCAGCTGTCTGGGCTGCTCAGTAGGTCAGATGCCTCACAGTTCAGCAGCTTGTACAGTCTCTGGGATGATTAAGTGTGAAACCCTGTTGTAAACTGCAAAGTGCTGTATACATGTTAAAGATACATATGTAGCAGTGTGGTGGTACATGCCTATAAACCTATCCCCCAAGAGGCTGAGGCACAAGGGTAGAGAATTCAAGACTAGTTTGGGCTACATAGTGAGAACCCATCTCATAAAACAATGCAAAAAACAAAAATATTTAAAAAAAACACTATTTTTCAATGTGAGTGTGTACATGCACATGTGCCATGCTTTGAGTGTGATGGGGGTCAAAGGACAACTTGAGGGAGTTGATTTTCTCTACTTTGTGGGTTCTTGGGATCAAACTCAGGTTATCAGTCTTAGTGGCAAGTATGTATACCTGCTGAGCCATCTTACTAGGCCCTCAAAGCCACATTTATTTGTTTGCTTTTTCCTCTCTATTTTATCTGTATGGGTGTCTTGCCTAAATTATATGTGTCTGTATTCTGTGCATATCTGGTACTCTTAGAGGCTAGATGTCAGATCCCCTGAAACTGAGTTACAGGTAGTTGTGAGCTGCCAATGTGGGCTAGAGGAATTGAATTATCTTTCTGTCTTCCTTCCTTCCTTTCTTCCTTCCTTCCTTCCATCCATCCATCCATCCATCTTTGAGGCAAAGTCTGATTATACAGCCTTAGCTGTAGAACACTGTGTAAACCAGGCTGACTTAGAACTCAGGGATCCTCCTGTCTCTGCTTTCCAAGGGCTGGGGGGTTAGCTGTTGTTACTGTGCTGTCTTGCCTCATCATACACGGCATCCTTTTTATTTATTAATCGTACTTTTTCCTACCTGTCGCAGGAAGGAGTTTTTTGATGGCTGTAAAGCAATAAGTGCAGACAGCATTGATGGGATTTGTGCACGGTTCCCTAGCCTCTTAATAGAAGCCAAACAAGAAGATAAATTCAAGGATCTCTACCGGTTTACATTTCAGTTTGGCCTGGACTCTGAAGAAGGGCAGCGGTCACTGCATCGTGAAATAGCCATTGCCCTGTGGAAACTAGTATTTACCCAGAACAATCCTCCTGTATTGGACCAATGGCTAAATTTCCTAACAGAGAACCCTTCGGGAATCAAGGGCATCTCCCGGGACACTTGGAACATGTTTCTTAACTTCACTCAGGTGATTGGCC